GTATATGTATCTCCTCAATATTTATTCCACTCTATATGCATCAGAAGAAGTGGGCTGTAGTCCATGAAAGCTTATGCTCTAATACATTTGTTAGTCTCTAAGGTGCCACAAGTACTCCTGTATCTTTCTGTAGTTAATAAACTTCTTTTAATGTTTTATCCTTACCAGTGAGTTTGTCTAAAGTGCTTGGGGAATCTGCTCAGTTTACAAAGGCTAGTGAACATCTACTTTCCTTTGACGAAGTGGCGAACTAATTAACGAGTTTGCACTGTTAAAGAGAAGGTCTTGAGCAACGTAAAATGGTATATTTCTGGGGTGCAAGCATAGGTGCTGGAACTAGGGGTGCTGGCCAAATACCCTGACTTGAAGTGGTTTCCATCATATACAGGATTTACAGTTTGGTTCAATGGATCTCAGTAACCCCAATATGTAAATTGTTCCAGCACCCCTGGATGCAAGGTTAGTGGCTTGGGAGATTTGCTGATGTTTCCCTGTGCATAGTTCATGAACAGCTTGGAGAACATTCATGCAGCTTAGCTGGGTGTGCCTCTGCATGGTGATGGCTGAGTAATAACAGCACCTGGAGGGGTTTGCTGCTTGTCACTAGCAAAGCACCGCGAAAGAACTCAGGCTGGAGAGTTACGGGTGCATAGCAGTCCCACAGTTCCAGGTTGTACTCAGGGGTCCCATCACATACACCTTCTGCGTAAGGTAAATGCATCAATACTACATGAGACGACTTCCCGAAATCTGGTATTGTATAGAATCCTTTTCCTGTACTATATCATTATTGGCTTACACCAGTAAACCTGACTAACATTGGTTATTTCATCTCTTGACTATATTTCATAAGGAACCAAAATGTGGTTAAGCAATTTACTATACAATTTAACAACAAACTACACCTGACATCGACCACACTCACTTTACCTGGAATATATGCAGATAATAAATGCACAGATAACTGTCAGTAGCAAGCTGGATATGAAAGCACTCTTTCTATTAAAACACCTGTGCCCTACTAATTACATAATTTACACAACTATACATTAAATTGATGCACAGTAGATCCTGAAGACTCACAAGCAGCTCTTCCCTTTGCTCACACACAGAAGGTGCAAAACATATAACCACAACTCCGTCACGCAACTCAAAGTTAACCACAGGTCCTCATATCACCAACACAACTTTACCAAGCAGAGCCTACTACTGCCTCCACCATTTCATATAGGTACACCTGACACACTGACTACACCTGGAACGTACATAAATAAATCATCACTGGCTGTTGCCATCTCCAGGGGAATAGAAAATGGCAAGACCAACCTTTTCACAGAATCATAGAATATCAGGGTTGGAAGGGACCTCAGGAGGTCATCTAGTCCAACCCCCTGCTCAAAGCAGGACCAATCCCCAGACAGATTTTTGCCTCAGATCCCTAAATGGCCCCCTCGAGGATTGAACTCACAACCCTGGGTTTAGCAGGCCAATGCTCAAACCACTGAGCATTGAATACTGTGAAAGGGCTGTAAAAGGATGTGAACTATGGGGTTGGCAAAGTAAAGATGTGTGATGTTCGATGGTTTGGATGTTCTCACCTCAGTCATACAAAGGGGAGTCTGATTTTCCACCTGTGCATCAAGTAGCTGCATCTTCCATGGTTTGTTCAGATGCAGTTCAATGTGGTACAACGTCTGCGTGGCAGGTTAAAACCAAGAGGGCAGCTTGTTGGGTCAGTAAGGTGGTCATGTGTGGTCAATAAATTTTGCAATTTCAGGCATTGTTGGGGTATGTTACCCATAACCTACTGGATGGGAAGTTCTGACTACTCTTTGGCACATTTAAGTTCTCATCCTGTGGCTATATCTCGGTAGATAGCAAACATCAAACCTCAAGCTAATACAGAAAGCCATGGTAGAGACGTTGATTTTAAAAGTTCCTGTGATGATTCGCATGTTCTGATTTAGCTGCCAAGCCACAAGTTGGATTAATCAGATTCTTGTCTACACCAGTGCACAGTACTCTGCAAATAGTACACTAGGG